AGTAGAGTTAATGAATTTCTGCAATCTTTTACTTCTTCCAGACCTTACCGATTCATGCATTCTGTTTTTTATTCTATTTCAAAAAATGTCATGATTAAGGAACTTGTCCCAGTCTAAGATCATTATCCTTTAATGTTGATGACTATGATCGAATACTTCAAGATATGTCTACTGGAGGAGGAGATGAGGGAGTTGAAGTTGAAAATCAAGAGARCTTGAGAGAACGGGAAGAAAAAGAACATGGAGAGGGTGTGAGTRGAGCAGAAAAAGAAGTACAAGCTCCTATCTAAACCGAAACAGGTAGCCGGGCACCCACATCTGCTACTGACATTCATGTGTTGAATGTTAGTATTGAACAAGACATAGCTAGCCCAGCTATGCAATTGCACACCCTTCCTATCCACTCAGTTGGTTCTCAACAACCAACTGTTTCAATTTCTCACKGGGATTTAGCACATACGCTAACTACTTCTCACTTGGAGAATGTAGCTATTGAAACAAGTAGGCCGCTGCCCCAGCCTACGACTTCGATTCTGTGCACCTCGAGTTTAGAGCCCATACACATAGGTACACAAGAGTCAGGAGCATCTGTTGCTCCAAGTGCAGTTCTTAGTGAACTAGCGGGAACGACCGGAGTGATGTCTGTTGACATATCACAAAGACAGGTCGGAAGTCCTACCAATGCTAACATTACGCCAACATTGAACGTAGGCACAGCAGTTTACTCAACTGTTGTTTCAACTGGTAATCTAAGTGATCCAGGTGTGATTTTACCCGACTTTGTGTCACGGGATATTTGGACGGCGCCCTAAAGGCTGTTCAAGAGAACTTTGATGCACAAATTGCTAGTCTGAAGAGGTTGCTTAAAGGGAAAGAGCAAGTTGTCGAAGAGCCACCTTCTGTGCCATCACCACCACCTGTACCATAACCATCAATACCGGAACTATCGATGGACGAGCTGAAATAATTACTTTATGCTAAATTGATGGCTGCTCAAAGCGAAGATGCCGAAGATGCAGACTTGGTCGGCCTTCTTCGTCAACAAATTGATGCTAACCCAGTAATTCGAGCCTCAGAGTTGTTGACTTTTCAGGATGTGGTTAGTGCTAATTTCTCTAAAGTTAGTCACTTGATTACATCTAATACCCTTGATTTGAAGCGTTCAATAGATGCTCTTGCCGAAAGAGTGTCTATACTTGAAGAATCTTGCAAGTCTCAACCTGAATCTCTTAAACGAAAGCATGACGATCAGGATGATCCTGATAGTCATGAGGGGGAGAGGAAGAAGCAGAGATTGGCTGAGACATCTGCACAAGGAGCAAGAGCGGGTGAAGAGTCAATTCCTCAAGATGTAAACGTTGAATGTTCTGCCCCGGAGACTGTACGGGAAAGAATAAATGAGGCTATTGTGGTTGTAGATGAAGAAGTGGGGGCAAGTCCAACGATCGAGCCAATGGTTGAAAAGCCGGCGGTCTCCACTGTAGAAACAAGGTTGCTTATGGACTTGTCTGCCAACGTGGGATTCAATAGTGCATTCTCTACTATTCTAGGTGGAGAGCAGGATTTTGGTGAAGATGTGGATAACATTGATGAGTCAGCTGGATTGTA